TAATTATGTTAATATTCCTCATAATTAATTAATGTATTTATATTTAATTATAATAATATTTGTTATTAATTAATTCTTCTTATATGTGTCTTTAGGACACATATCTTCTTTTTAAATTTGTTTTATAATCTTTTTTTTAATTTTCTATTATTTTTTTTGGAACAATATATGTATCATACTCTTACTAAACTATTCTTAATATCATATATGTTCTAGACGAGACTTAAACCTTTAATTTTAAGAAGAAAGGACAACACTTGATACCATTAGACTACAAATTATTTGGTTATAATTATAATTTTTTTTTGTAACACCAGCTTATATATATATATATATATATATATATATATATATATATATATATATATATATATATATATATATATAAAAGTAGATTTTTTGAGACTAAAAAAATAGAGATCTTGAAATTCAACCTCAACCTTATATTTGACATCAACCGCTCTAACCATCCTGCATACCAAAATGACAGACTTGCTATAATCATAAAAGATTATATAAAGTCGTCAGTTTCTTTCTCCTCCGCCACCATCTCCTACACCACAACCGCCACCACCACCACCACCACTACCATCACCTCTGACACCAGCCGACCCCACAACTACCACCTCCATCACTTATATCACCGTCACGTCTGCCACCACCATCTCTTCTACTATCAAGTATCATAATCATATATGATTATTCAATCTGTGAACATACGTATCTGTATAATCATTTATGATTATGCATATACTTATAAACATGTATAATCACATATGATTACACCTCTTTGCCATATAATCATTTAAGATTAGGCATCCTTTGTTGCAGCCAGTACGCTCGATCGTTAGAGTGGCAAATGAGAAATATGTGACTAAGGTTGAATCTCAAATCTTTTTTTTTAATCGCAAATGACCCGTCCCCTATACGGAAAAATGAATATACGCTTAAAGGTATATAACCTTAGGTATTCAACCGACCATAATATATCGTTTTATATCATATATGCATTATAATATTCTTAAAATTCTACCACTAACTTTATTAACTTTTAAGATTTTTGAAATTTCATTATTATTTTCCTCTTCCATCACATCTTTCTACTGAACACCTACCAGACTATATATATTATAATTGAAAATAAAAAATTATGTAAGATGAAAATAATGGTGAAATTTATAAAAATATACATTTCTCATCTGCCGTTCTAGAAATCCGACGTATGGGTGCGGCGTGAAATTTATAATTATAAAAGATTATTCAGCGCTGCCCATTCCTTTTCCGCCACTATCACCACCACCACCACCAGCACCACCATCTATGCCACCAACCAAACCCTCTATTGCTACCTCCATCACCTATGCCACCGCCACCTCTTCCACCACCACTTTTTCTATCACCAACCACAATTATCATATATGATCACTCAATATGTAAATAGACATACATGTATAATTATTTATAACTAGGCGTATATGTATAAATATACATTCTTATATATGATTATACCTCTTTATCATATAATCATTTAAGAACAGGCATACCCCGCAACTACCAGTAGGTTAGAGCATTAAAGCGGAAAATAAGAATTATATAGGTGAGGTTGAATACTATTTTTTTCGGAATCCCAATGAAACTTACTATATATATATATATATATATATATATATATATATATATATATATATATATATATATATATATGGAGAGAAAGAGAGAGAGAAAGAAAGAGAGAGAGAGAGAGAGAGAGAGTTAGGATCGCCTGAGGACTCAAAAGTTAATGAGGACTATGAGGACAAATCTTAGCTGCTTATTGATGAAATTAGATGGTTGAGAATTTTTTTCCAAAATAAATAAGTATTAAAAATCGAGGGTCCATTTTTGTAGATATCATAAAACAGAGGAGAGAAGTTTTGTAAGTGTCAAGGGTAGATCTTTTTCAGAAAGAATTGTCAAGGGTAGAAAGGTAAATAGCAATTGTAAGTGTTAAGGGTAGATCTTTTTCAAAAAAAAATTGTCAAGGGTAGAAAGGTAAATAGCAATTTGTAGATGCATATCATCAAATGACACAAGTGAGTGACTTGTTTGCTTGTCCTTATCTACCACACGTGTTGAAATATGATGAGCTATTTTTTTTCCGTAATAAATTTTTTTTTGAAAATAAATCTAAAAATATAAAATTTCTTAAATTTTAATTCTCTAGAAACAGACTACAACCAAGTAATGAGTTTGATATTTTGTACTCTTGACAAAATAGATGGTGAAGAATTTTTCTCGTAGTCCGCACTATTTTTTGAGTTCTCATCGGAACCGTACCATATATATATATATATATATATATATATATATATATATATATATATATATATATATAATTTGCATGCATTTTTCTAATCTCTTTATATACACAGTTACCATTTTATTAAGTTTGTATAAAAGTTATTTATTTTCCGACAAATAAATTAGTTTTACCTTTCAACATATAGATACTCATGAAAAGTAACTATTGAAATGATACAGATATGAGCGAGGTAACAAATGGGTATTTGGAGACAAGCGTAGATTGGATCCCTGGAATGAATAACATCCAATTAAAGGATTTCCCCAGTTTCATTCGAACCACAGACATAAACGACACCATGTTAAACTATTTCATAACGGAAGCTGCAGCTATCCCTAGAGGCTCGGGTGTCGTGCTAAACACTTTCGACGCTTTAGAACAAGATAGTCTTAACCCTTTAATTGCCTTAAATCCAAGAACCTTCACCATAGGCCCACTACACTTGATGCAACAACATATTGAAAATGACCAGGTCAAACACATTGGCTCCAACCTCTGGAAGGAAGATGAGAGCTGCATCAGTTGGCTTGACACCAAAGACCCTGGTTCAGTTGTTTACGTTAACTTTGGAAGCATTACAGTCATGACAAAAGAACAGCTCATCGAGTTTGGGTGGGGACTGGCGAATAGCAAGAAAGATTTCTTGTGGATTACAAGGCCCGACATTTTCGGAGGCAGTGAGGCCATGATGCCACCAGAGTTTGTTGACGAGACCAAAGAGAGAGGCATGGTGACTAGTTGGTGCCCTCAAGAACAGGTGATGTTTATTCTTTCTAATCACTGAGTAATAAAACCAAACCATATACAAAGTTGTTAAATAGTCAAGAAGCATCATTTAAGCACGCATTAAGTCATTTAACCTTGTTGGAATATGCTTACCATATCACGTATAAATTTAAATCCGTCATTAAATATTTCATTAATTTCTCTATATAATGAAGGCTTTGAAGCATCCAGCAATCGGCGCATTCCTGACACACAGTGGATGGAACTCGACTATTGAGAGTATTAGCAGCGGTGTTCCAGTGATTTGTTGGCCGTTTTTTGCAGAGCAACAAACGAATTGTCGTTATAGTTGTGTAGAGTGGGGGATTGGAATGGAAATTGATTGCAATGTGAAGAGAGAGGAGGTGGAAGCTCAGGTGAGGGAGATGATGGATGGGAAGAAAGGGAAAATGATGAAATCTAAGGCTTTGGAATGGAAAAAAAAAGCGGAAGAAGCAGTTGCTATTGAGGGGTCGTCTTATCTCAACTTTGATAAATTAGTTACCGAGGTTCTCTTGAGAAAGTGAAGTCAATATTTCAATTCTAGACTTCTAGTAGTTATTAATATTGTCATAAAAGGTATTGCAAACTTTAGTTGGTATTGACTTAAAATAAGATGTCAATGTATCTAGACATTTACTACGTACAACGTGTATGTGTTTGGTTCACACAAACGGTAAATATTATGAAAAAGAAATATAATTGTGTATTCTTATCATTAAAGACGAAATTATTGATAGATGATATCATGTTTGACTGAGATCAACTTGCATTTGTCGAATATTACTACACCACGATATATATCAATTATGCACCACAAAAATCCTAATAAAATATCTGTTTTCCTTTCTAATTTTCGGAATCATGATACAATATCACCTTCCGCCGCAAAGGTCTAATATATCTAGCCGACAATACAGAACTTGCAGGAATTACCCGTGCCGTTGGCATCGGGTTGGATCGGGTTTGCTTAAATGTTGATAAAATTTTATTTTGTGTACAATTCAATGAATTTTTTTTCTTTGTAAGCACAAAATAAATAACATAAGTCATGCTCGAGCTATAAAACATGTGTTGTTAAGAAGCAAACTAATTACATGATTGAACGGGAGTTCACTACAAGAAATGGTGGCATTAGCAGCGACGCCTTTATTGGCGACACCGGGTATTAGCGGCGCTGAAATGGAATGTGTCATCAATGGAGTTGGGATTGGAGTTGGAGAAGGTGTAAAGAAGAAATGGGTTTGATAAGATAAGTGTCATGTGTATAGCTGTTGAGGTAGTTTCGACTTTTATTGAGTGACATTTCGATTCCAGAGGTTGATAAAGAAAGGACGGGATTTGGAGCGGTGTATGGTTGAGTGAGGGGGAAGATGCAACATGGGAATATGGTCGAATTGATGTAGACGCACTAAAAGAAAAATACCCTTTAATAACGTGCAAACAATTACACTCGCTGATTTACGATTCGTATTTTTGTGTGCCCTTAAAAATAATGTCAGCCTTCCAAAATTATAAGGATAGAGGACACGTATTTTTGCGCGCCCTAAAATTACTGTCTAATAAAAAATAAATAAAAACACAGAGGGCACCTCTCATAAAGAGCGTGTCCTCTACAAATGTCACTTTATAACTTTTACTAAATGCGCGTTTCTGGGACTCTCGTAAGGGGAAAATGAAATCCACCAAAATTGCGAACACCCGCTTCCTCTTCCTCTATACTCTCTACACCTGCCAGATCGACTTCATTCTCTCCCTTCTCTCTGCAAACCCCTTCCTCTATGATCGACTTTCACTTCCTTCTTTGTGCAAACCCTAATCAAACATAACGCATTTGCAATGGTAATATCTTATTTCACAATATAGACCATTGATCGAAGAACTAGGGCTTTTGATGAATCGGACATCACCAACAACGATAGCTACCCATCACAATTTGTGTTTTCTCTCGGACTTCACCGTTCGAACATCGCACCACAACAGCACCTGCATCTGCTGCATCTTCTCCATCATTGTGTTTTGGTTCTGGAAACCTCTCTCTTTTTGTAGCAGAAGGCACGATCTCAACTTCTTGGAATTGTTTGTTCTATTTACTGAAGAAAGCAGGAATCAAGTAACATTCCGAGCTGCAAATGGTGTAACTACTGCTCTACCATTTTTGGTCTTCGATATCCATCGTCCAGGTGTCCTTCGTGTCATATCATGTTTAATCATTGAAGATTCTTCACATGCTGGCTAAATTTAAATCTAAATCTTTGCATACTTTTCCAACGTTTAATCTTTTGTCAAGTTTCTTATTTACCAAAAGTTTTATATTAATTAGGTTCATTCAGAGGAAGTGACCAGCTGGTTGAAGTATCAAAGAGTGGGATGGTTACCAGTTCTTTGGGATCTCAATATCACGTTCAATATGATGCAAAATGTGATGTTTTTGGAGCTTTATGGAGGGTTTTAGGAGCTAATAGTTCTGCTCATAGAGTATTTGGTGAAGCCACTGGGTTTTCTCTTCTCCTAACAACACTTCATAGTTTCCAGAGAGATAAAGGGCTGATTGAGCGGATATAGAATGTTGGTGCTTTGAAGGTCCTCATTCGTTCATTGTTGCTCTTTACTCCAAAATTACAGCTGGAGTTGTTGAAACTTATCGAAGAGCTTGCTTTAGCTGGACCTTTTAATCAACGCTGATCAAGTTCAGGTACCATTTATTTTGATTCATAGATTTTACGATTTATGCTGAAAAGATTTGCGGCTTTTTTTGTTGTTGTTTTTTCTGTTATTTGAGGGTAAAAGGATCATTTAGTAAGTTGGTATTGAGTCTATGAGGCAATTTGGCAACCCTTTTTATCTTGTTTATAATAAATCTACGAATATCTACAGCAATTGAGGGGTGGATTATTCTGGTTACTGGGGTACATGAAGAAGCCCAAGAAGACGACTTACAAAACACATTTGGGGAGTTTGGTGAGATTAAGAACTTGCATCTAAATATGGATTGCAGAACTGGTTTTGTCAACGTATTGTGATATTATTGTGTAGTAAGTTGTGTTTTCTTGATGTATAAAGTATGGAAGTGGCAAAGTTGTAATTTGGCTTTATACTGCATCAGGGGTATGCACTGATTGAGTATGAAAGCTTTGAGGAAGCAAAGAAAGCTATAGCTGCAATGGATGGAGGTGAGCTGCTGACTCAGAATGTGAATGTTGATTGGGCATTCAGTAAATGTCCTTTCAGAAGGAGAAACAATAGGAGGAGGTATATATGTTCTTATTTCCTTTTCTTGTTATGTTTTCAACCCATGAAATAAAATTCATGTTTTAAGTTTCATTTTTTGTAGCTAATGTGCTTTGTGATAATCTGCCAGATCACCTCGTGGGAATCGGTCAAGAAGTCCATGAAGCAATTATTACAAAGCCCCTGGCTTTGAAATGGCTTACGACTGAAGGATGAATGCCTTTAATTATTTTCCAAATGAAACAATTCCAAGGTCTTTGACTTTGGCCCACATTACTACCTTAACCTAGGAGTTTGATCACATTATGGTTAGTTTCATGACTTCATTTTCCATCGTGTTACACTATTTAAAAATAAATCATATTTCAAGAATGGTTAATAACGTTTTATCATATGAATTACAGAGATGTTGGCAGAGTTGTCAAGAAGAGAAAAAGATGCAAATATTAAGCCTAATTCTGACATCGATATTTACATGAAGGTAAATAACAAGTTTCTGAATATTATCATGAATATTATCAAAATCTTATGATTGTTGTTTTGTTATATAGGCTGCTGCAACAGCAGGAAAAGAAGCTAGTGTGGTCACAGATTATACTCTCAAGGTATAATAATTATACAACATTTCTAATGATAAGGGGTATTTTTTAATGAATCTTTTAATGATTACAGTTAAGATCTGATATGAATTTTTTAATGATTTCAGAACAAATTCCACCAGAATCCTGCTGAACTGGTTGAAGATGTTATTGATGACTCTCCTTCCACTTCACTTCAAATACAAAATTCATCTCAAACCAATTTCCAAACTAGACAAGAATGGGCAGCTATACGAATCCAACCAGCTTTTCGAGGAAGTTTGGTACTTAATAATAAACCTCTATCCATTTATCTACTCATAATTAATAGTAAAATACATCCATCATGCATCAACCTTGTTGGAGTTATATTCGTTATAATAATATATGTTTAGGCTAGGCGGGCCCTACGAGCTTTAAAAGGATTGGTGAGGCTACAGGCTCTTGTGAGGGTGGTGTGATAGTGTTTGATTTGTTAAACAAATTCAAGCAAAGTTAATCAAGAGACAAGAGGCAGCTGCTAAACGTGAAACAGCCATGGCATATGCTCTTGCTCCACAGGTTAATAATAATAATAATAATAACAATAATAATAATAATAATAATAATAATAATAAAAATAATAATAATAATAATAATAATAATAACAATAATAATAATAATAATAATAACAATAATAATAATAATAATAATAATATCATTTCTTTTTCGACTAAAATTACCAAAATACCCTTGTAAATAATGCAGTGGTAAGCAGGATCAAAACAACAACAAGTGACAGCTGTATCTGGATTTGAACCGAATAGAACAAATTGGGGATGGAACTGGTTGGAAAGATGGATGGATGTTCATCCATGGGAGAATCGCTTCCTTGACATCAATGGAGTCAAGATGAGTTCTTCTTCTACACAAGATCAAGGTCACAACATCAAGAATCAGTTAATCAAATCTAATGGAAAGAAAAGTCTCCAATCAGAACATCCAAATGACAAAATGGGACAATCTCAATCTAATGGATTTGATTCTTCTTCACCTATTAAGTCAAGTAACATGCAAGAACCACCACCTGCCATGGTGGATACCTTATTACTTATTGATTCAGTCAATGAAGGGAGCTCAAGCTCAAGATCCCACAACAATCCAAAAAAATGATCTTTAATTTAGGGTAATCAGGGAAAAAAGAGAAGGTCATTACCTAGTAGCGATGAGTCCATCTGTTTTAGTTATCAAAATAAGATTAATATTTTTATAATACAAATTTGATTAAAATCAGTTTTAATTATATGTGAAATATGTTGCTTTGGCAAAATAAGATGATACAGGAAACGGGTGGTCATCAGTCCATGTAAGTTTCTTGATTTGTAACATCTTGTATTCAAGAAATAGAAATCCACTTTCCATATTAAAAAATTACAAATTATATTCTTTGAAAAATTTGCTAGATTGATAGGTTTAAAAGTAGAATGTTGCAAGTGCAAGTGTTGTGTTTACAGGGTTGATTAAAGCGAATAGCTCTGGATTTAGAAGAGGAAAAGAAAGTTGAAGCTGAAAGAGATAAGATGTTGCAAGTGCAAGTGTTGCATTCTTCATTTCAACTGTTAATATGAAACACAAAGTAGATTAGATGAATGCAAATTTATATATTGTAAGAAATAGAATTGTATGACATTAAATTTTATGCAATGAATTGTATTTTTTGTATATGGTATTTTATTTATATTATTAGATATTTAATGCAAATTTAATTTAAAAATTAATAAATATATAAATATATTTTTCTAAACATTTAAATTTACGACACGCAAAAATGTGTGTCATCTTCATTTATGACATGGCCTTTCTTGACATGGGTTTTAATGATACTCATTGCGTGTCATAAAAGCGCGTCGTCTATAGACGACGCGCAAAAGCATGTCGTCTCTCGTTATGACAGGGCCTTCCTTGACATGCATTTGCGCGTGGTCTGAGCGTTTTACGACACACATTCTGCGTCGTGAAAGGCTATTTTTCTAGTAGTGACATATGGTATAGTGGAATGGAATTGACTGAGTTTGATGATCGGTGGTCCTAGATTCGTAGCAGCCTGCAAAATAAAAATTAGTTAATAACTTAAAAAAAAAAAAAAAGGAAATTACACAAAAACCGCTATATTTTGGGCAAATTTATGGTTTAACTTTTTATACTTTATGTTTTTTTCCAAACAAACTAAAAAGTTTCAAACAATTTTCCTTTTTAACCTTTTTTATTATATCATAAGGAAATGAATTTCATAGATAAAGGCAACAAAAGCGGTCAAGTAACTAAGAACATACCGTGCTCTAATTTAGGTTCAAGAAACAATTATATACAAACTAAGCCAAATCCTTTTCGAGAAAGTGAATATTAAAACATGTGATATAAGATCATTGAAGCAATCAAGTATAAAACGCAAAAATTGTCATTTACTCTCCTTCACAAGATTTGATTAACTTAAGAAAGAAACAAACTTTATGTATACAACAATTTAACTCGACATACATCCTTATTCATTCAGCTAAACCATTATACTTTTATTTTTTACCATTTTGGAAAATAAATAGATCAAAGGACCAACTTACCCTCCATTTATACTTATATACGAGATATGCTCCACCTCCGGCCGTTGCTAACCTCATGAAAAAAATCCACATGGTAGCCCATGAAGATTTACCTTTGCCAACTGTCTTACCCGCCATCATTTATAATAAATAAATAAATAAATAGTCAAATAAAAAAATAAGAAAGGGAAAACATAATAATGCAAGTATGATGGTATCTCATATAAGGAAGATCACCGGTACAACTACACTCATACCTTCCTCAATTATGCTTCCAACTGCATTCTAGACATTTACATTTTCTTCTCTTTACATTCATTAACATATGTGTTCAATAACTCATCTTATATACCAAATTACCTTTCTAAAACCCTTGCATCATTTTTAAAATTTTATTTACCTTCACGATTTTTAACACCATCAGCTTTAAATCCCGAAGGACATGTACATTTTCCATTTTCATTATCATGTTATAAACCCTAAATTACAATGAAATTACCAAAATTGCTATGAATAAATTGGAAGAGAGAATAAAACAAGACAAGGTGAGAATGAACTACCATCTCGGCTCTTATGCTAACATCCTCCATTATTGATCTTACAATGTCTGGGGCCACTTGCTACAAAAAAAGTATTGTTTACCAATAAAGTCAGTTGATTATGGTCAAATTGTATCGGTTAAAGGCTTGCACGATATGGAGGTAACCAAGAGAACACAATTGTTGCCTCCTTCTTTTGCAACTTCTCAATAGCTTCCAATGTCTGATAAAAAAGAACATGAGTTATCATATAGTGTATTTTTTTTGAAATATGTAGCATAAATCCCCAGCATCACCTGCTTGGACTGATCTTTTATGTCATTCAAAACTGAATGGGTAGGAAAGTAAGCTTATCATCCCCAGTTGTTAATCAAAAAGACTTGATTTCTTTGAGGACTTAAATCATACACCACGCGCGCAATATAAAAAAAAGTTGTTTCAGCTAAATTTGTAATTGTTAATCACCAGTTTACACTACAAAAAAATGGCAATTAGTGACGAAAATGAAATGGTCACTAACAATAGAAGGGTTCGTCACTAAGTCATTTAGTGACCAAACTTTGGGTCGTCACTTTTTGTCACTATAGGTCCGTCACAAAAACTGATTAGTGACGAAAATATGAAATGGTCACTAATAGTGACTAAAATATAGTGGTCACTAAATCTGTGACAACCCGTTTCGTTACTAAATGTTGTCACTAATCTATGAAAGTCGTCACTATTTTACCTAATTAGTGACCACAAAAAGTCGTTACTGTCTTATCCAATTAATGACCATAAAAAGTAGTCACCAACTTATCACATTAGTGACCATAAAAGTCGTCATTGATTTATCTAACTAGTGGCCAGAAAAATTCGTCATTGATTTATCTAACTAGTGACCAGAAAAACTCGTCACTGATTTATCCAACTAGTGACCATAAAATCTCGTCATTGATTTTTGTTGCTATTTTTGTATTTAGCCCCGTTTAAATAACTATCATGGAACTAGACAATAGTAAACATAAATTATTCTCAAATTATTAAAACGAAAAAGTTGAGGAAAATTTATTTTCCACTTTTCCACTTGGTTCATTCTTATTTATTATGCACATACATCACCTACTCAACAAAACCTTAACAATAACACAATTTTCCAGCAAATTACATAAAGAAAACAAAAAAAAATATTCAAGTCTTCCAGTTTCTTTCTACAATAATTGCCTTTGCATTCTCATGACCTTTTGAAGAATGTGGATGAAATAGTATTTCTACAATAATTACCCTTCAGATGATCTGCAATACATTTGTACAACTTCATTCACTTTTTTTTACTTGACAAATCCATCAGTCAAGGAAACTTACAACAGTCAAAGCTGGCCTCATATCCCCCTATTCCATGTTTTATGAACGATTCAAGGCCTAGAACAAAAAAATGTTTTACAACTTGTTTATATAAAATAAAAAGATAATAATTTGAAATATACCTAATACATGTCAAGACTCCAAATATGTAGGGAACACCTGCAACAATATAAAGTGGATAAGTCAGTTAGAGAAAATATTACAAATGTGAGAAAGAACATCAAACTATAAGTGGTTTTTGGTTATATAAAGTTAAATACAAATTACTAAAATCGTCCCTGTAGTTTGGTCAAAATTACACGTTTGGTCCCGAACTTTTTTTTGCACTCGGATCATCCCTATGGTTTGATTTTGTTGCGTTTTTCGTCCTTGTGATTTGATTTTGTTTCATTTTTCGTCCCTTACATACATAAAGTTAGGGACCAAACATGCAATTTTTACCAAACCATGGGGACGGAAAACGCAACAAAATCAAACCCCAGGGACGATCCGAGTGCAAAAAAAAAAGTTAGGGACCAAACGTGCAATTTTGATCAAACCACAGTGACGATTTCAGTAATTTACTCTAAATACAACCTGAATTAAGGACAACAGAAAGGATCACATATGCAGATAAATTTGCAACAACATTGTGATGATTATCTTGTAAGATATTGCATACCACATCTCCTTATTTACCTGACTTTTCAGCAACTAGGAACCTACACCACCTAATAATGTTAGTTAATAATCCCAGTAGCATACAAAGGGTAATCAAATGACATTACAAAGATGTAATTTGGCCTTAGTTATAAATAAGGGAAATAATACATACATTATCTTATTCTCTGACATCCAATACTTATTTAATGTGTCCAAAGCACCCTCCATCAAAGGCCTTGTGACGATTTCATTAAATCATGCAATGACCTATGGATCAACAAAACTACTTCAAAATGAAAAATAAAGAGATAGCAAGAATAACGATATTAGAATTAAAAAAATCCTGGAAATTAAACCGCC